CCACTTAGCATTTCTAGGTGGTGTATCATTAGCAAACCCGCATTTAGGAAATAGTAAAAAAGTTATTTTAGGGACATGTGAAATGAGAAAATGCTCTTCGCTGTTGAAGAATCATCTCATTAATGAGAGGAGGCATTTTCCCAGAGGTAAGATATGGTATACAGGTTGCTTTTTACGTCATTTTTTTAACATAAGTAGACAATTAAAATTTAATGTTAATTGCCAAAAATGTGTAAAAAACAAGTCTTACAACACAATAATATCCGGATATTGTCCAGCTCCATATTGGTAGCTCTAATATTTTTTTTAATGAAAATATTTTTTTACATAACGTAATATATACAAAACAACTTAATGATACTAAAATTCTTTTGTGTTCTCTCGGTCAGTGATTAGTTTCATGACATCTGTCGCTGCTGAAGAGTCCGGGAACTGTACAGCTGCTGGATGACAAAATCACCCTTGTACTATTTCCTCCCTTACAGTGATTAATTTTGCTGCGTTGTAAATCATTTACTTAAAATTTACACATACTGGTATTACTTCAATCCATGGATATTTCAGTCTTAGATGTTTTTTACTAAATAGTTTTAAGATTTTTTCATTTTCATTTTACGCAAAAGAATTCATTGTATTATTTTATAACCAATTAACCAACAAACCATTAATAATTTCATTTCATATATTATGTATAATAACGTATTTAAATATAAAATAAAATTACGATTATTATTAATTAATAAACGAAAGAAAAATAGTTGCAAAAAATATCCAAATGATATCACACGTTATTACGAAACACCTTGAAATAAATATAATACGTCCATTTACAACCAGTCTTCCTGTCGTTGTTTTACTTATTTATCACAAATTATAAACAGATAAAACTCAGACATTTTAATGCTTAGAAAACTAGATTAATATGCATTTTTTGCCAATAATATACGTAATTACTATTAACTAATATTTATCACGGATATTGGGCAGGTCTTTTGTCCTTGTCCAATGTTTCTAGACAGTAATACGTTGGGGTGTTTTTATGTGTCATTTAACATTTTTTGGCAGTAGTTAGCAAGGACGGTGACTTTGTGTGACGCCGTAATAACGACCCGAATAGAAAGATGTATAATGTTCATCCGTATAAATAGCGTTACAAACGTGCGTTGGATATCAGTCGGCTGTGACAGCTTCAAGTGATCTTCCTTTTCCGAATTTCAACAAAGAACACGTCCACAATGAGATCGCTGGTGGTGTTTGTTGCTGTGTTAGCACTCTCTGTCGCTGCACCTCACGATGATTTATCATTGAAGAAAGGATCCAATGATGATTCTTCACAGAAGAAAAGATCTATTGGACACACGATCGCCTATACCGTACCGTCGACTGTGACACAGACATTAGTCGGTGCTCCACTTGTTGCTGAGCCTGTGGTGGAGGCACAAGCCGTATACGCAAGTCCTGCAGCTACTGTCTACGCTTCCCCAGCTTCTACAATTCACTCAACTAGATCAACCGTGACCCACCAATCCAGCGTTGATATCCACAGTTCACCAGTAGTGGTTGCTTCTGCTCCAGCCGTGATTTCCACACCTACTATTGTTGAAGCTCGCTCTGTGTACGCTGCACCAGTTTCTCATCAATATCGTTACGATGTTCACACCTCTCCAGCAGTTGTGAGCCAACAGCTTGCAGTACCTACTGTGGTCGATGCTCGTTCAGTCTGGACACCGACAGTGTACGCTACCTCCTGGTAAATAAAGTCCTTTTAATTTTAAGTAACGAAAAAGAAGCTTAGAAATTAGGCCATTGAAATTTAAACAGAAATTTAAGCAAAATCAAATAAAGAACTTTTGAATTTTAATTATTTTTTACTTTTGATCTTATATATATATATACATATATATGTATATGTATATGTATATATATACACGCATACATTATACATACATAAATATACATAAAAGATAGTCACGCTATGTACATAAAACGATTATAGAAATTTTTTAAAATAATTCTGAATGGATAATATTAGGTCTTCTTAATAAAACTTCTAAAAAAAATCCTATTAATGAGTGTGCCAAGTGCAGGTGCATTTTCTACTCCCTTTTTCTCATAGTTCCTACAACTAGACGGAGATCAGGCGCAGGACTAAAGGCTTTACGTTTTTTCCGAGACACTTGAGTTTCCGAAACACCGCCGACATTCCGACTCCGTCCTGATCATTACTTAGAGGGAAAATCCAAACAACTGATTTTGACTCGACTCGAGATTCAAACCGGGATTTTCAGTCGCGCTTACTATATTATATTGGTACATATTTTCTTAAGTTTTTTAAATATTAGTGTGACAAGTAGTTGTCTTCAATAATATAAAAATCGAGAGATTTTTTATACACATATTATATGAAAAAATACTTGCCTCACTTTTGTCCGCATCATGGACATACCTAGTCGATATATGGGTAGATAAAAAAATTTAGACAAATAAAATAACATTTTTAAGCGTTATGTTATTATTATGGTAAGCATCCTGTTATCATTTCTTGTTGTTTAGTAGGACTCACAGATAGATAGACTCCAATACCTCGATTGGGGGTTTAGTTGCTTGCGTCCTAAGATATTATTTGAATTCTGACTCACTACACGTATCCCCTGGGTAGTGCTAAACGAGCAGCACTACAAACTGGTGGGTGATTGGTCCTAAACTAGTGATAGTCCAAGGGTTAACTAGCAAATACATGTCGCAAGTCGTGTTCCAGTATAGTGTTAGGTGAAATCCATTTCTTTATGATGAGTCTGGACAGATGCGATGTGCATAAGAACTGGTTACAGTGCGGCTGTTTCTTGGTGATAGGTGTCTGGTTATGAAGACTAGGGGGATCCAAAGAACGATTGCACCGCTTGCCAACTGTAGGGAGTTGAAGGCTGTCCCACCATTCTACGAAAAAAACCTGAGATTCACATGCTGGTTGGACTGTATAATTAAACACGTGAATGTCGCAAACAGACTAGTTTTATTTTTTAAAGTATACATAGACAACCGTACAAATCTTATATAAAACTGGCATAGTACCATGAATATACTTAACAAAATATAGTGTCTACATTGGACATGAGATGGCGTTACTAGTAGCAAAACACAAATAAGAAGTACTTTTATTATTTTGATACATCGTTATAACACCCCCACTTATCAAAATAAACCAATACAATTATTTTGGGACAGTTCCCAATTTACGCAGAAATTTATAATGTTTAACATGACATAAACCTTTAGTGAGAATATCAGCTGTCATTTCTTCAGTATATAGATATAGGATATTTCGTAGACAGAGAAACCCATAGACTAATGACTAGCGTGGCCTCGAGTGAGAAAGGACGATAACGTAGTTTTAGGTTATATAATAATCTTTATGACTTTTAACATATTTAGATAACATTTTTAATTGCTCTAAGAACTGAACTGAACAAGATTCACCAAGCTTAAGCTCACAAAACACTTTTTTCTCACTTAAACCAACTTGTAAACTCCTTAGATCGCTACAAACTGTCAAAGTTGTTTAGCAAATAGAGTGAATGGGGCACTACACTCTAATAAGAAGAATCAGAATGTGTCAAAAAAGGCACTTATGGTAATTCATAATGCTGTGTTAGTATGTATGGTAGTGAAAGTTGGGTGTGGCAGAAGAAGCACGAAAGTAGAATAAATGCTGTAGAAATGCGGCCTTTAAGGAGTATGCTAGGGTTGAATCTAAATGACAGGGTCAGAAATTGCGTGATAAGAGATAAATGTGGTATGCAAGATGATGTTGTGACCAGGATTAAGAAAGGAATGCTTCGGTGGTTTTGTCATGTAGAAAGAATGAGAGAGGAAAGAGTGACAAAGCAAATTTATATGGCAGATGTGAACAGCAGAGTCGGGAAGGGACGCCCTAGAAGAAAGTTATCGATCAAATTGGCGATATTTTGAAAATGGGCCACATTAGATGCGCAATCGACGAGCATGTATGCGTAGATATATGGATGTAAAGGAGACGAAAGAGGTATTGCAGGATCGTGCCAAATAGAAGTCCGTAGTCTCTGCCTACCCCTCTGAGTGACAGGCGTGAGTGTTTATGTATCAGTTATTCAACAATTGCTTAAAGAACAAAGATAGAAGAAAAAACAAAAGGAAAGAAGAAAACGTATTGTTTGGGTACATGGATGGATTTATCAACGTCAGGTCAAGGTTGAGTGGAGTATAGAAGATCTTGATTATTTTAAAAAACGATTAAGAATGACTACTGATCAGTTTAATACTTTACTACATATGGTTACTCCGCTTATACAAAAATGCAATACCAATATGCGAGAAACACTTTCTCCGAAAATTAAATTAGAAATAACCCTGAAGTTCTTGGCTACCGGTGATAACTACTCAAGTCTTGCAGAGTCATTTAGAGTTCCAGAATGCACAATTTCCCTGTTTTTGAAGGATGTTTTGGATGCTATATACAATGTTTTACAGGAGTTCATTATGGTAAGTGAAACAAGTAATTAATTTATAAACGATTTATTTATAAATTTTCCATTGTGTTTTCATCTAAGCATGATCTAACAGCTTGAGATAGAATATCGTCGCTCACTGCGTATTGTTGCCAAGTATTTTCTTGTGTTAGTAAACAGCTGGCAAAATAGTCTACTTCATATTCGAGGTGCCTTCCAGAAAGAAAGCTTCGGGAGTCAAAGTTTCACGTTGGTTTCGAAGAGCTTGGTTTCGGGAAGTAGTAGCTTCGGCTTCAGGAGTCGAAGTATAGCGTGTATAATCTGAGAGTGAGCTCGTAGGTCTAGCAATTGGAAAATGTTGTGTATTTAAGATTTTCAGTCTTTCTTGTGACAAATAATTCTTGATGAAATTTAGACAAACAATAGCATTTGTTAATGGCAAACTACGTAATTTGCTTGCCACATGTACTCCGAATGTATCAAATTCATCTTGATGGATAGTTTGAGCCAAAGTTTCTAATCTATTGGTCCTTCCATTTTTAGAGCACGCTCCGCCTTTTTCTTTGGAGACAATTGTTTTATCTTTTGTAAGTGCGCAATATTAGATTCTTGTCCCAATTCATCAAAATATGAAGACGCGTCGCTGTTTCTGTTCACCGCTGAATCTTCGTTTTCTTTTCCCTGTAACCATATACTAATATAAGTTTATTTCTTTTAGGTGCCATCCACCACAGATCGATGGAAGAAAATACAAAAGGATTTTTTAGATCGCTGGCAATTCCTTTTTGCTGTGGGGCTATTGACGGGAAACACGTATTAATAGAAAATCCACCACACGGAGCTTTAGACTATTATAATTACACTTATAGTGTGGTGTTGTTTGCTATAGTGGATGCACATTAGAGTTTCATATATATATAGATTTCGGAACTAATGGACGCAGGAATGATTCGCATATTTGGAAAAAAACAAAGTTCTATAGTGCTCTTAAAATAAATAATTTGGACTACTACCTAATAAGGCAGTTTTCGTTGGTGATGATGCTTTTCCTTTGGCAACCTATTTAATGAAACCGTATTCAAGACATGAAGGCTTGGAACACAAACAAAAAATCTTTAATTACAGACTATCAAGAGCACGCCGAATTGTAGAGAATGCCTTTGGCATAATAGCTTCACGATTCAGAGTATACAGAAAACCTATATCTGTTTCATTGGATAAAACTGATTCTATTATAAAAGTAACCTGTGCGCTGCATAACTGGCTTCGGACTAATCGCATATTTATGAATACTCCCGAATTAGTAGACGAAGAAGAATTCAGTTCAGGGACAATCAGAAACGGAAGTTGGAGAAGCATTCCTATGCCAGGAGTAGACGAAGTAATGACACCGCTATCTTCTAACGACTATTCACGAAATGCAAAAGATTTGCGCGATAGATTTTTTTTTATAGAAGAAGGGGCAAACGAGCATGCGGCTCACCTGATGTTAAGTGACTACCGCCGCCCATGATCAACCGCAACACCAGGAGAATTGCGGGTGCGTTGCCGGCCCTTTAGAAAGGAGTAAGCTCTTTTCTTGAAGGTCCCCAGGTCGTATCGGTCCGGAAAAATCGCCGGTGGCTATTCCACAGAGAGGTTGTACGTGGAAGAAAACTCCTTGTGAAACGTACAGTGGTGGATCGCCAAGCATCCAGATGGTGTGGATGGTATCGGGACGTTTGACGTGTAGTGCGTTCACGAAATTTGGCGGCTGCGATTAATCCGAACAATTCCTCAGAGCACTCCCCATGATAGATGCGATAAAATACGCAAAGAGATGCAACATCTCTTCGCAGCGCCAGTGAATCGAGCCGATCGGAAAGCACTCGGTCGTTGACGATTCGAGCCGCTCTGCGCTGGATGCGGTCAAGTGGAAGAAGCTGGTACTGGGGAGCCCCAGCCAAGAGATGGGAACAGTATTCCATGTGCGGCCGAACCTGCGCCTTGTAAAGTTGCAGGCGGTGTGCCGGCATGAAATACTGTCCCGCTCTGCTGAGCACGCTAAGCTTTTTAGAGGCCAATTTGGCCTTCCCTTCCAAGTGACCACGAAACTGCACGTCACTCGATATGTCGACGCCGAGGATTCCGATACTGGCTGAGGCAACAAGGGGAGTGCCTTGAAACTGAGGGGATACGACAAAGGGGTTCTTTTTAGCGGTTAACGCGCAAACTTGTGTCTTCTGGGGGTTAAACTGGACTAGATTTAGTCGCCCCCAATCCGAGACTCTGTCCAGCAGACACTCGACTTCAGACATAAGTTTGTCCCGGCACTCGGAGACGTTTTCCCGAGAAATATTGGCTCGGCCGGAGTAAAGAGCATCACCAGTGCTGTCATCTGCATAGCAATGAATGTTACGGGTATGCAGCATGTCATTGATATGCAGAAGAAACAGCGTTGGCGATAGCACGCTGCCCTGTGGAACACCAGCATTAATAGGCTTGCAATCTGAGCTTGCACCGTCTACAACGACCTTGATGCTCCGATCTGCAAGAAAGCTGGTGATCCAATCGCACAATTTCTCGGGAAGCCCATAGGAAGGGAGCTTCGAAAGAAGCGCTTTGTGCCAAACCCGATCGAAGACCTTCGCAATGTCCAAACTAACGGCCAATGCCTCCCCCTTGAACTCTACTGCCTCCGCCCATCTGTGAGTTAGGTAGACCAGAAGATCACCAGCTGACCGACCATGGCGAAAACCGTATTGGCGGTCACTAATCAGCTGGTGATCTTCAAGGTACCTCATGAGCTGGCAGTTTACAATGGACTCCATTGTTTTGGAGAACAAGGAGGTGATGGCGATTGGCCGGTAGTTGGACGGGTCAGAGCGGTCGCCTTTTTTAGGGATCGGGTGGACGTAAGCCGTCTTCCATGATTTTGGGACTACGCCTAGGGAGTAGGAGTACCGGAAAAGACGCGTTAAAACCGGTGCCAACTCTGGAGCACACGTCCTCAGCACAATTGGGGGGATTCCGTCAGGCCCACTCGACTTGTGGATGTCCAGGGAGAGGAGTGCTTTGCGAACCGAGCGCTGTGTGAAGTGCACTTCCGGCATGGAGCACTCACACCGCGGGATGGTCGGCGGAGTACTCCCCCCGTCATCGAGAGTCGAGTTAGACGCAAAGAAAGAGCCTAGAAGATCGGCTTTCTCCTTTGCGGTATGGGCCAGTGAGTCGTCCTCCCTGTGCAGAGATGAAAGAGATGGCTGACATAAATTCCCCTGGACAGCCTTGGCGAGAGACCAGAATGCACGGGTTCCAGAAGGAAGGCGAACTACAGTTAGTGTAGTTTTTTGCCAATTCTGCCTATGTGCTCTGACTTTGCCTTGGCAATGACCCACTTTGAAGGACCTAGAGGCGGAATTATACTTCTTTTTTTGATCACTGGTGTTTACATCCCGGGACGTTGATGCGTCAGCCCAGGCTTGGTAACACTCCTGCTTATAGCATGATGCTATTTTACAGGAGCGACTACACTGGCTGGATGGCTGACTGAAATTCCCCTCACTATTTTGTCGGACCTGGAAAAGTTTCATGGCAAGATAGAATGATTGCGTAAATATTATATTTAAGTAATTATAAAAATGGCCCTGTTCACACTTTACCTATTATAACGTGCGAACAAGAATAACTATTTAATAATTAATAATAAGACTTACCATGTTATCTTTACTGTTTCTTCCTTCTATCACTGGCTTTAAAAAGCGGTCAGCTATAGAAAACCAAATTAATTGAGATCTGTGTACATAATCCTCTCCCGCACCACTATTCTTTGACTTTGATACCTTACTGGCCGCTCTATTATATGTGGTTCGTATATTTTTTATCTTCAATTTAAGCTCTTCAACTGTTATGGACAAACACATTTCTTGAATAATAGATTTAAGAGCCGCTAAACGTACATTATTGTTCCTGTAATCTTGTTCTCTTGGGTTCCATACTGTATGGTGTTATTTTTATTCATGGTTGTCACGATACATATACACAGAGTCGCTGTAGTAAATAAATACACGTGCGTGCGCAAAACACCTTCATGCAGCAGGCGATCGCCTGCAACTGATCGTTTACACGGTCGATTTTAGTCACCAGTCGCATGCGGCCGGTCGCCGTGCGGCCAAAGTCGGATGCTACCCAAATTTGGGGCTTGCGGCTTTAGTCGCTTGCGACTTCGATTCGACTTCGTCGATCTGCGCCGCGCGGCAAACATCGTGCGGCTTTAGTCACCCGTGTAAGCCCCCTATAAGACGAAAACGCGGGGTTTAAATAAAGAAGGCGATAGAATGTACGACGACGGCAGCAGTAAAGACGGCGGATCAAGTTTGCCGGCGGCGAAAGCCGAAAAAGTTTTTAAAACATATTGTGACGGCCCAATATTATTATTAATAATTAAATTCAATATAAAGGGGCGTCAAAAATAGTCTTAAAAGATATATATTAAACAATAAAATTACATTAATAACCATAAAGTTAATGTAAATACTTTTCAGACATTAGACCAATAACATAGTAAATTAAAGGCAAAATATTGTCTTCCATAATAAATAAATTTATTAAAAACTTGAAAAAATATTTAAAATAAGATAATTAATAGAAATACAAGTCGAAAATATTATAAAAATAAAGATAAATAACATTTATAAGATAATTAGAAAATTTGAATAGAACTAAATTTACGGATTTTATCGCGTTTATTTCACTACTTTTACTTATTTTTAATTCCCAACGTTTCGGGTGCTTTACAGCAACCATGGTCACGGGGGGGACTGAGATGTTTGACGTCCCAATGTCATAGTTAGTCCGGCTACCTTCAGTTTTTGAATATTAATTTTTGGTCCGATTTACGCAAAACGAGTATCATGAAGTCTTGCAGTGGTATGCTTAGGTTTGGGTTTAATTTTGTTAATTATAGGATCCCAAGCAGGTGGCAGCACCCATCCATCTTCTCTATTGAAATTTGGATGTTTTTTTAATTTCAATAGCCTCGCGTACATCTTAGGAATCGGTGTTCTTTTGCGAGAATTTGTGGTTTATCAAAACGAATGTAATGGTGGGGACGATCTTGAACATGATCGCAGAATGCAGACTTCCCGGAGCGTCGGGGAAATTAAATTAGCCGGATCGGATTAAGAGAGACCCTTCCTACAACGTCATGGATTTTTACGGGCTAATGAACAAGATGCAAGAGCGAATGAAATAAAATCAGATTAGGAATTTGGAAAACATATTTTTAGGTAATTATTACTATCTTCATAAATGTACTAAAATATTAATAATATAAAAAAGTGACATCTTTACAAAGTATAAGGAAGCTTAGTCTACATAGTTATTTAATGTGGCGATGTTATGCTTTGTTCTTTTATTTTCTCATAGTTTGCAATAGGTGGCACTGTTCTATAAATCGATTATATAAGTGTAATGTATGATATCTTGTTTTCTGTTTTTATCCATTCCTCATACTTTGAAAAACTGCATCTAAAGCTCTTTTGTCGGAATTAGTACCTATTTCATCCGTACATACACACATAGGTACATACATAGGTCAGGGAAAAAGTTTCTTCGTATTTTGTTGGTATAAAATTGAAGAAAAATCTCTTTGGTTGTACTGTTTGTATTTGGCTGGTTTTAATAAATAAAAATGAAGGACATTAAAGAATAGAAAAATAAAAAGAAAAAACATTTTCCCGCCATTTTTCAATCATTTTTCTGTCCGCCGAAATGAGTGCATCTAATGTAGAAATTAGATACATTCTGAAGTTTTATTGTAAAAAAGAGGAAAAATGAGACTCAAGCCACGACAAGCGTTTTCAGTCCGGGAATTTCATTTCGTATTCATTTCGTATTCATTCATCATTTCGTATGGTGGGTGTCGAGATTCGGAGACCCTTTTTACCTTTGTCCTCACGGGTAACAATGTATTTTAACTCGTAATCAAGGACTACTACTATTATATATATTACTACAATTACCATTAGGTGGATTGTGTGTTAGTTTATCACCCTTATTTCAAAATAAAAATTAGGTATTACAACATAGCCGAGGAATTGAAAATTGATCACAAAACAATTTTGACCCATTTGAAAAAGTCTGGATATGCAAAAAAGCTCGATATTAGGGTAACACATGAATTCGCTGAAAGGAACCTAATAAATCTTGTACTAGTTTGCGATTCTCTATTGAAATGTAATCTTCCCGAATAATTTTTGAAAAGATTGATCACTGGTGATGAAAATTGCATCACCTACGACAAGAACGGTCGAAAAAGATCATTCTTACGTGGTAGAGCCACGCTGAAGTTTTATTGTGATTATAGCACAGATGGGTTGGCTCGACCACCTTCTCGCAGAATACCAGCGTAAAATAGCTGCTTTGTTTCAAGTTCATGTGTAGAGAACCGGAGACCCTTTTTACATAATTTTTTTTTCAAAGTGTAGTCAAACTCTGAATTAACATGCAATAAGGTAATGCTGTGTGTATGAAGGGGTCTCGTAATAAACGATGCCCTTCCAGCATCGTTTATTGTGAGCTTTCACCACCTGGCAAAACTATCGATTCGGATCCCTACTGCCAACGACTATTGAGATGAGAGCAAGAAATCGAGAAAAAACACTCGGAATTGATCAACAGAAAAGGAGTGGTCTTTCATCATGATAACGCCAGACCACAAACATCTTTGGCCGTTCAGCGAAAATTGAGAGAGTTTGGTTGGGAAGTATTAATTCATCCACCATATACCTAGACCTGACCTTGCACCCTCAGGTTTTTACCTATTTCGGTCTCTTCAGAATTCTTTGATTAGTGTTAAGTTAACATTAAGAGAGGACTGTCAAAACTACTTGTCGCATTTTTTTGATCAAAAATTCCAAGATTTTTACAGCAACGAGATTATGCCACTACCTACAAGATGGCAGCAAGTTATCGAACAAAATGTATGTACATATAAATTAAATATATTTAAACTTTGAAAAAAAAAATATCTTGTACAAAAAATACGAGTGCGAAGAATCTTTTTTCGCGACCTTATAAATAAATATTGTAAAATAACCTTATTACCCTCTTACAGACACCCATCACTTCCAAGAACAGTCAATAGTTTTAAAGTATTATTATAATCGATTCTGATACTGTAATTATTTTTATAAAAATTAAAGCTAAATACGAAGACATAGTCCACTTGGTGGTAAGTGGCTACTGTAGCACACTGGACGCTACAACTTTCACAACTTTGGACAACAATTGCGTTGTTACCTCTGAAGACTATGCGAGAATGCCTCATAGCTGGTTATTTTACTGACGCTCTAGGACCGGTCCTTATTTGCTGTTCACAGTTCGTTCTCGGTCCGATTTCGGTCTGATTTATTATATTATTGGGATGGGATTCGAGCGAGACTTGACTGTTACGGATAGTATGAATGCGCACACATATTTTTTACTTGGTAATATTTTATAAGACCAAGATCCGACTGAGAACGGACTGTGAACGGCATTATACTGAGGATCGGCCCTTATACCTCTCAGACCGGGAACACGGCACAGTAAGCACTATAAAGCGGCGGCAGAAATAGGTAGCAGGAAAGAAATGGGTAACCTTTTCAGAAGGAATCCTAGGCAGAAGACCTACCACCTAGTAAAGTCAGGGCTTTTGTAGAATTTAGTAAGACATGTTTCTAAATACTTTTTACGAAAATGGATGAATCAGTTGTTCATAAAGTTGTTGAAAAGTAAAAAGTAAAAAGTAAAGTTACAGCCTATATACGTCCCACTGCTGGGCTCAGGCCTCCCCTCATTTCTGAGAGGGTTTAGGGCAAGGAAGTGTCCGCCGCGCTGCCCAAATGCGTCTTGACGAACTTCACATGTCTTCAAAATATTTTTTTTTATTATTCCTCAGACATGCAGGTTTCCTCACGATGTTTTCCTTCACCGCCGAGCACGTGGTAAATCAGCACTTAAAATTGCAATTAACAATTTCATTGGTGCCGGCGGGGATCGAACCCGGGTTACTCGCGTTCTGTTATATTTACAGCGAGCGTTAACCACTGAGCTACCACGGCTAGGCAAAGTTGTTGAAGTATGTAGATAATTAGACAAAAGACCTAATTGATTTTCATTTCAAGATTATAATTTTTATTGAAACGTTTTATTCTTGGTAGTTCAGGAACTAAGTGCTCACTTTATATTTCACATCCAGTGGTGAAAACTAAAATATCATGAGGATATGTGAAGTTTGCCAGCATGAAATGCAGTAGAATAGTGAGTCTTCGTCACTACATAACTCTCTCCAAATTTGGAAGAGGCCTCTAATATTAAAACGTATTCAAGAAAAAAGGAACACGTTACTATACTTTTATTTCATATTCTTATTCATTGTTCTATATAAATCATTGTTGCCCAATGCAGTTTAAATGGCTAGAAATTTAGTGTCAAGTACCTTGAAATAACTTTATTTCTTGTTATGTAAAGAAACCTAAACTTACACATATAGGCTGTAATATACTTTAAAATTTAAACACAAATGGCATATAATTTTAATTGCATTGTTATTTCCTTAAAGTTGAGGAAACGAACACTACGAAATGGCGTCAAATTGAGCTCGGAACTTTATTGAGTAAAATTTTTATTTATAACAATGACCAATATTTCCAGAAAGCGTTATAGTTAATAATATAGTCTGCAATGTACTTGTCTTATTTTTATTGGCTCCTTTTTTATACAATAATGGTGACAAACGATCACACAGTCCACCTGATGGTAAATGAATGCAGTGGCCCATAGACATCTATATTTATCATTGATTAAGAATCGAAATAAGATGGTATGCTTCGTTTGCAGTAAAAAGGATCCGGATCTCTATACTCACCATACGAAACACCGCAGCATTAAGTTGCTATTTTACACCGGTATTCCATGAGATCATGATCCTACCCCAGTCGAGCCGACCCATTCGTGCTACAACCTATTTTATGTCTGCAGCGTGGCACCACGAACTTACCTGAAGCCTTAAAATTTATTTGGCATTTCACATATTGCCTCTTACGACGAAAATCTCCTTACAACGAAATAAGGTGATAGGTGTTATTCGGTTTCCGTCACCGTTATAGCCTATGACAAGTCCACTGCCCGACGTAGGCTTCCATAAAATATCATAAGGGGGATATTTGCCGTAGTTGCCACGCTTGGTTGGTTTGGTAACCACATATTTTTATATTTTAG